TTTAATGTGATAAATTATTAGGTGGGGGACTGTAATAAATTACCATATGTATTAAAAATTCGAAAATTGTATAAATGTGACAAATGTGTTTGCAAGGATATAAAATATAAAATGTACAGAAAAACCCCTTCTTGGGGCTGGCCGAAATCTCCTTTGGGGAGAAACTGATTGCAAAACGACACCTTGATAACGAACTTTGGCAAGGCCCATCAACACGAACAAAAAACAGGACGAGGCTCGTCAAACCTACAATGGAGCTGGCTCAGGGAAATCGTCGGCCTCCGGACCTGAGCAACGCCCTGCAGACTTCTGTGGAAACAATCTGATCAATAGTGAAAAGACAGGCTCCGAAAAACTGAGCCTTGCCAGACCAGGGCTGTTCCTGGTGTTGAGAAAGCAATCAGGAGGAACAAAGAGGAAGGCGCAGTCAAGATATCCATCGGCACCAGCCCGAATTCCCCCGCCCTGCCAGGACAACACAAATTGAAATACATACAGAATCTCCTTTACATATGAGGAGATTCTGGCCGGACACAAGTTAATGTCATCATTCTACGGCAGGAAATTCATTCACTGAACAATCAGAGACACTTGGTGAATGAAACCTGCCTGGAATTTTAGCCTAAGGACACAAAACCTCTATAAAAACCGAGGCTTGGGGACCCTCAGAGGTGGATTTGGGAAACCTATACCTTTTGGTGTAGACCCTGTCCACCCAGCGCTGCGCTGATCTTTTTATTGTGGATTTTTATCGTTGTTTCTCTCTTTGTTGTTTATTAATAAATCTATTTTTCATTTCTATCATAAATTTGCCTTTGCGTTTATAACACCAGCAACCCCAAAAGCTCCCCCCATTTCCATCTCCTCACTCTGCCCCTCCAGGCTGCCTCTGCCGGAAGCCGCCACCGGGACCCCCCAATGTCTCCCCAGCGGGCATTTTCTGCTCAGCTTGGGAGTTCTTCGTAGTCCAGAATTCCCCCCAAACATCCCAATATTTACCCCCCTAAAACCCCAAACTCAGGGATCCCCCCGGGACATTTGGGCGAGCTCCCCCTCCCCGGTCACCTGCGGAATGGGAGCCGATGGTCCCACGCGTGGGGGGCTGTGAATTCAGGCTGTGCCTGACCTCGTGATTCCTTCTCCGTTTCCTGATCCTCCTTTGTCTCTCCTCTTCCCCCCGCTACTCCCCTTCCATCTCTCCTCCCCCAGGAGCAGTGACACCCTCGGTGCCCCGTTCCCAAACCCCTCACAGCCCATGGCAGGAGCGGGGATGGAGCCGGGACAGGTCGGGATGGGCAGCGCGGAGCTCTCCGCTGCTCCCACCCGCTGGGGACGGGGGGAACCCGGCCCGGGGAAAAGGAGAGGGAAACTGGGAAAATTGGGGGCTGCAGATCCAAGCTGGGGCTGGCTG